AAGGGATGCCCATTCAGCTGGCAAAGCATTATTTTCAGATGTGTCTGTGAGGATATTTCTATAAGAGATTAACACTTGAATTTATAACCTGAGTAGAGTAGATTGCCCTCCCAGTGTGAGCGGGCATCACCTAGTCCGTTCAATGCCTGAACAGAACAAAAAGGCAGAGGAAGGGTGAATTCTGTCTCTACTTGAGCTTGGACATCATCTTCTCTTGCCCCTGGACATCAGTGCTCCTGGATTTTCTGCTTTCAGACTCAGATCAGGCTTTAAATCATCAGCTCCTCCATTCTGTGGCCCTGGACTTGGATTGAGTTATACCACCAGTGTTTCTGGTTCTTTAGCTTGCAGACGACAGATCAAGGAACTTTTTGGTCACTGTAACTACCTGAGCCAATTCTGTAATAAATCTCTTTATAAATATATATGTGTGTATATATATATATATGTTATTGGTTACATTTCTCTAGGAACCCTGATATGTAGATGTAGGTATTTATTATATGGCACTGGCTTATACAATTATGGAGGCTCAGAAGGAGACCCAGGAAGGCCAGTGGTATAGTTTGAAGGCCTAAAAATCAGAGAGCCAGTTTTGTAAATTCTAGTCTGAGCTTGAAGTCCTGAGAGTCAGAATCACTGAAGGCAGAAGATTAGTGTCCCAGCTCAACAGTCAGATTGAGAAAGAGCATGAATCCTATCGTCCTTCAAATTTTTGTTCTATACAGGTCCTCAGTGGGTTGAATGATGCCCACCCATGTTGGGGAGGGTATTTTGGACACGCCAGGATGGTTGATTACTCTACATTTGACTCAGTCTTATGGCAATGTGGTATAATTTCAATTAGCTAATTATTTTCTATACCTAGGAGATAGTGGAGGACAGAAGAGCCTGGGGGTGATTCTGCTTCAGTCCACGAGGTCGCAAAGAGCTGGACACAACTTAGCAACTGAACAACAAATACCAAGCTTACTGAAAAAGGCAAAGCATAGAAAATATATTAGTATTAGAGCTAAATTAAGAAACTATGTGCTGTATCGACCACAAAACTGGTCTGGTATTTTGGGGTGAGAACACATTTACCTCAGTCTCTTACACTTATGTATTGGGTTAGCCAAAGAGTTATTTTGGGTTTCTGTAAGATGTTAGGGAAACACCCAAATGAACTTTTTGGCCAACCCAATATTATACTTAATCATATTCAAAATTTTGACACATCAAAAATTCAAATATATTTTTTACAGAAGAGTTACTAAGATTGGAAATGAAGGAATATAGTATCAAAATATTTTCTATACCAAGAGAGTATGAACTTTGTGACTTGAGTGTTGCTCTTGAATTTAGAAGATTTGAATTTTAACTCTGCACATAATGTACGACTTTGGACAAGTTATTATAATTTTAACCATCTTGAGGACTAGTTTCCTCATTTATAAAGTGGAAATATTATCACCAACCTGACTGTGAGGGTGGTTGTGAGGATTATATTGAATAGTATTTATGCAGCTAACCTATCATAGGATCTTAGTGTTAACAAGAACAATAGGGATTAAAATAGCCAAGTGTTACCTAAAGAAATACATGGTCTAGAAACCCCATTTCTTGTGCATTGGGTTTTGTTGAAATTTTGATTATTTTGTTGAACCAGATGGGGTAGAAAAATAATCTCCTCAGTAGCTGATATAATTTTCATGTTGTTTAGAATGCATTCTTTATGTGAAGGATTATATTCAAAACTATTGTCATGATTCATTAACTCTTATTTCTAAACTATGGCCTGTACACAATTGTGTCAGAAGATACTGTTCGATCCCACCCTGTTTACCCAAGATGCTCTGGTCTTGGGCTTTGGTGTGCAGGGAACTGAGGAGCATTTACCCTCAACCGGGCTGGGGAAGCCACAGGGAGGGTAGGCAGGGAGCTGTTTATTTAATCTGTGTTTATGTACTATATTATATTTACTGAGCCTCTCCCACTTCCACCTCAATTAAAGAAGTGGTTGAAGCTCCACTTCAACCCTTGGAGCATTAAATTGAATAATTTTTTGTTTTAAAGGAAAAAGAAAAGACATAGGAAACACTAGTAACAACAAAATATAGAAAATAAAACTGCCAGAAGATACAAGCAGATTTGCTATAAGAAAAAACTGAAGGGGTGCCATGGGATGGGGTTAAGAGCATAAGCACTGCTATCAGAGAGCTCTGACTTTGAAATCCAGTTTTGCTAGTGTGATGTCAGGCAAGTTATTTTATTTCTATCAGCCTTTGTTTCCTCATCTGTAAAATGGAGATAATAATATCTATTTCATAAGATGAAGTGAGATAAAACATAAAGATGCCTGACAACTGATAGGAATTCAACATGTAGCTATTATTTTTAAGATTATTGTTGTTATTAATGTTATTAATTTGTTAATAACAAATTATTGTTATTTGTTTTTGCTGTACTACAGAATGGTTTTGGTCATTGTTTTATGACCTTTGGTCAGTGCCTGATACCTATTGTGCTCTCACTAAGTTTGGTCTTTTTTTTTAGAGTTATATAATATTTTCCCTTTTTCACAACTTGAATTTATTTAATTCCTTGGGTTTTTAAGCTAAGTTATAATTTATATAAAGTATACACATGTCAACTCTATAGCTTGATGAATATATACCTGTCTATACACTATGTAACAACTGGGAAGGTTTCCTCCTGAAAAGAAGGTTTCTTTTCTATCAATGTCTGCATTCCTACCCCTTCTCTTCCCCAAGTTGACTAGAAAAAATTAAAAAATATTTGGAAGCCAAGCAACCACCTCTAAACAATCCATAAACTAAAGAAGAAATCATAAAGGAAACTAGAAAGCATTTTTAGCTGAACAATAATGAAAAGAGTATATCAACATTTATGTGATGTAGCTAAAGCAGTGTTTCAGTTCAGTTCAGTCGCTCAGTTGTGTCCAACTCTTTGTGACCCCATGGACTGCATCATGCCAGGCTTCCCTGTCCATCACCAATCACCATCTGGGAGCTTACTCAAACTCATGTCCATTGAGTCTGTGATGCCATCCAACCATCTCATCCTCTGTCGTCCCATTCTCCTCCATCCTTCAGTTTTTCCCAGCATCAGGATCTTTCCCAATGAGTCAGTTCTTCACATCAGGTGGCCAAAGTATTGGAGCTTCAGCTTCAGCATTAGTTGTTCCAATAAATATTCAAGACTGCTTTCCTTTAGGATTGACTGGTTTTATCTCCTTGCAGTCCAAGGGACTTTCAAGAGTCTTCTCCAACACCACAGTTCAAAAGCATCAATACTTTGGAGCTCAGCTTTCTTTATGGTCCAACTCTCACAAAGCAGTTTTTAAGAGGGAATTATAGCTTTAAATTATAGCTTTAAATTTACCACTGAGGTGGCTCAGTGGTAGAGAATTCGCCTACCAATGCAGGAAATATGGGTTCAATCCCTGGGTCAGGAAGATTCCCTGCAGAAGGAAATGGCAACCCACTGCAGTATTCTTACCTGAAAAATCCCATGAACAGAGGAGCCTGGCTGGCTATAGTCCAGGGGGTCACAAGGAGTCAGACATGACTGAGCTACTGAGCACACACACATAGCTTTAAGTACTTATAATAATAGAGAAGAAATGTTTAAAATCAGCGATATAATTTTCTACATTAAGAAGTTAAAATATACTGGCAATTAAATCCAAAGAAAAGAAAAGGAAGGAGATTAGAAAGAAAGAAAGAAAAGAAGGAAGGAAGGAAGAGGGAGGGAGGAAGGGAGTTGAAAATAAAACAAAATAATAGAGTTCCAATTTAATTCCATGGTGATCAGAAGTACAACCTGTATGACTGCAGTTCTTTAAAATTTGTTGAATTTTGCTTTGTGGCCTGGGATAATGGATAATGGACTATTTGATGAATGTCCTACGTACAGTTGAAAATTTTACATATACACACGCATACATACACACAAATGTATAAATTCATGTTTCAAATTTCATCATTCTGGTTTCAGAATTTGTGCTCGTAACTACTTCATGATTGGTATTATTCAGGCTTCCTTGGTGGCTCAGCTGGTAAAAAAATCTGCCTGCAATACCGGAGACCTGAGTTTGATCCCTGGGTTGTGAAGATCCCCTGGTGAAGGGAAAGGCTACCCACTCTAGTGTTCTGGTCTGGAGAATTCCATGGACTGTATAGTCCATGGGATCACAGAGTCGGACACGACTGAATGACTTTCACTTTCACTTTCACTTTCTCATCTTACAGATAAGGGAATAGGGTTAGAGAGGTTAGGTGATTGCCCCAAGTCTCAGTGCTGGTAAAGTTCCAGCACTCGGATTTGAACCAGGTTCCAAAGTTCTTGCTCTTTCCTCCCATAGTTTCCTCCCAAAGGGAGAGGAGAAAAATGTTTTCCCTTTTAGGACTTTAGTTTTTAAAAATTTTGTGAGAATTTTATGGTGACTTCAGAGTGGACCAAACAGCTTTTTTGTTCTTAATGAAGTTGATATCTCCTTGTACTTATGGTTTTTTGGCCATTTATGACCAGGCTCTGGAAAGGAGCTGTTTTTCCCATTGACTTATGTTATTTCCGAAGATCTGTGGGACTGACTTCTAGGGAAGCATGTTGATAGCTCCATGAGCGTTAGTCTTAGGAGTGGAAAGATAGCAGAGCTCGACCTCAAGGTCCTCTGTCTACACCGGGACATGTGATACTCAACTTACATGAATCCTTCTGCTTGTTGAGGGTTTCATACATTTGCCGGCCAGAAATAGGGCCCTTGAGAGGGTTTGAGACATGAAATATTTCTGCCTTGTGAAGGCTGCCAGGTGAGATGAGGAGAGGAAGCTGGTTCCTTTCTTGGGGAAGTCAGACCTGGTTATCCCCTCATGCTCTGCAGGGCATTTACACAGCAAGCCTGGAGTGACACTGAGGCAGTGGAATCATTCTGCGGAGGGAGCCCAACAGAATCCATGTGTTTCGCTGCCTCTGATACTGACCACTCTTTTTTGCAGTGTGGAGGCCGCCAGCATCGGGTTCGTCATTGTCATCGACAGACGGAGGGACAAGTGGAGCTCCATAAAAGCATCCTTGACACGAATAGCTGTAAATATTTATTTTTATATTTTACTATAAGATAATTTAAACTATCTATTTGACTATTTCCCATCAAAGTCACCAGAAAGTAGCAGTTATTTTATGCCAAGTTTGGGAAGGTCTTTGTAGCAGAGGCTGTCGTGTCACGTCCATGTCCCCTCTGCTGCCCAGAGGTCACTTGCAGACCATTCCTGAGCATGAGTCTCTACCTTATTGACCTCTCTGGTCACTGGAGAGGAGCAGGTAGAGAGTGCTGGGAAGCTAATGCTCCAGGAGTGACCTGCAAGTACTGCATTATGGGCATTAGTGGACAAACACCCCAGGATTTGCACCCCTTAGTGGGGCAGTTCTGAGGTATATTCCACACAGAATTTCAGAAGACCGAGCCCTTCTTGCCGGAGAAGGCAATGGCACCCCACTCCAGTACTCTTGCCTGAAAAATCCCATGGGCGGAGGAGCCTGGTAGGCTGCAGTCCATGGGGTCGCTACTAGTCGGACACGACTGAGTGACTTCACTTTCACTTTTCACTTTCACACATTGGAGAAGGAAATGGCAACCCGCTCCAGTGTTCTTGCCTGGAGAATCCCAGGGACGGGGGAGCCTGGTGGGCTGCTGTCTATGGGGTTGCACAGAGTCGGACACGACTGAAGTGACTTAGCAGCAGCAGCCCTTCTTGCCCATAGCAGTTCCTCTCATTGATACACTGGCTTTCTAGCCATCCTGTCTCACCATTGCCCCATACTCCCAACTGTGTTTCCTGGGGTCACCTTTCAGTAAACTCCTGAGACCCAAATCCTCATTTTAAGGTTCGCTTTGGGGATCACTTTATTTTATGACAGTCTTCATTTTAGTATTCAAATTATTTTTTCACAAATTCAAAAGACACTAGCAAAACCAGACAGTATAAGACGTGAGCTTGCTTTTAGCATTAAATTGCACAACCTTGGATCATTTTCCTTTTCCATCTTATTAGTCTGATTTTTACCCCTATTTATTCCCTTCCAGCAAGTGTATGCATCCTTTCCCTGTAGGAACCTCAGATCAAGGACTCAGCCACATGAACTCAGCCACAGACAGTTGACAGTGCCCATGACTTTTCAAAAGGTCTGGCCTCTATAGAGTTCTGGTTTCCCAGGGTTCATAGATAATACTTGAATCACCTAACACTTGAGTCTAATTTGTCCAAGAATTACAGTGATCGCCTTTATGTGTAAAAGATGCTGTAGTTCTGGGATCAAAAATATGACTACCAGTCAGAATCTCTTCATGGGCTTGTTAAAGATATAGATATCTGGACTTTATCCCAGTCCTAATGAGTCAGAATATTCCAGGGTAAAAACCATGTTATTTTTTAATAAACACTTCAGGAGGTTGTTCTTGAGAACTCCTGAAAGAATGGAAAATCATGAGCAATGGGAAACTTGGATTCCCAGTTTTGCCATTAAGTTGTTAAATGAACCTGTTTTCTCATTACTCAAGACCTTACCTCAAGATGAGGGCAATGCTTCTTGAAAGCAACTTAGCAATAAGATGCTTTGCTGCTGCTAAGTTGCTTCAGTCGTGTCCCACTCTGTGCAACCCCATAGACAGCAGCCCACCAGGCTCCCCCATCCCTGGGATTCTCCAGGCAAGAATACTGGAGTGGGTTGCCATTTCCTTCTCCAATCTGTAAAAGTGAAAAGTGAAAGTGAAGTCACTCAGTTGTGTCCAACTAGTAGCGACCCCATGGACTGCAGCCTACCAGGCTCCTCCGTCCATGGGATTTTCCAGGCAAGAGTGCTGGAGTGGGGTGCCATTGCCTTCTCCAAATAAGATGCCTTAAGAACCCTTAAAATACTAAATATTTCACTCAGTAATTCTTCTAGGAAGCAAGAAGTATATTCCAAAATGTGTAAAGATTTCATTTTACTGTTATTATGATAGTAAAAGTATGGAGGAGGCTAAATCACTAACAATAAGGGATTGTTTAAATAAATTGCACACCCATGAAAACATTCCAAGGAATTTTTAATATCAGGAATAAAAGCTCATGGTATAATACTAAGTTAAAAGGCAGATTGCAAAATATTTCTACAGTTTGAGTTTATGATAAAGATATTTAAGCCAAGAAAATAGCCTATAAGTGAAGGACAGGGAAGCCTGATGTGCTACAGTCCATGGGGTCACAAAGAGTCAGACATAATGTAGTAACTAAACAACAAAAAGATTAGATTGAAATATCAAGAATGGCTATGAAATCATGGGTGGTTTTCTTATTCTAATGTATACTTTATTTTAAATTTCTGTATTTTTCTATAAAGAGTGTAAATTATTTTTTTAATCAGAAAATTTTTTTTGTTTGGTTAATTTGGTTTTTAAGGATGGGTTTGAATTATATGAGCAGTAAGATCTCTTTCAGCTGTGAAATATATCCTAATTCTTTGGCATCCAGGGTGTCCACTTTAACTTTGTCATCTACAATCTTGGGCAAGAGGAGACTGATTGATGTGACATTTTCATTGACACTTTTTATGATCCTTCCAGGTAGCATTTCCAGGAAACTTGCAGCTCATATTCATTCTTCGTCCATCTTGCTTTATCCAGAGAACATTGACTGACATTGGCATTAAGTACTATAGAGGTGAATTTAAAATGAAAGTGCCGGTAAGCAAGATCTTTTTGTCTTGTCTGCATTTATTTAGGGCACGGGGAGAAGATAGCACATGAGCTTGTTTCTAAAGAAGGTAGAGAAAGAGGAGGGCATTCTAGGCAGAGGGAATGGCATGTGTAAGGACACGGAAGCAGGAAGTACACACTTTATGTGAGGTCCATGGGGAAGCCCCATTCTTGTTGGAATTATGTACAGGATAATCTTTTGGAAGAAAAGGTAAGGCATATGGAATATGTCTTAAGTGTAAGGACAGAGGGTCTAGATTGAATTCAGTAAGCAATGGGGATCCAGTGAAGGTTTTTGAGTTGGGTAGTTACTTGGGTAAAGGAATACTGGAATTATATAAATCCAGAGGTATTATGTAAAGATGGTATCCAAGACTGTACAAAGAGATTGAAAAAGGAAGAGAAATTGTAATAGTATGAGTAAAGGAAAATAAGGATCTAAAATTTGGGGGTGAAAAGTATAGGTAACTGTGAGTAAAAATTAAAACCAACCTTGTGATATGCATACAAGTGAAAGTGAAAGTCACTCAGTCATGTCTGACTCTTTGTGATCATTCTCAAGGCCAGAATACTGGAGTGGGTAGCCTTTCGCTTCTCCAGGGGATCTTCCCAACCCAGGGATCAAACCCAGGTCTCCCACATTGCAGGTGGATTGTTTACCAGCTGAGCCACAAGGGAAACACAAGGATACTGGGGTGGGTAGCCTATCCCTTCTCCAGGGGATCTTCCCAACTCAGGAATTGAACCAGGGTCTGCTGCATTGCAGGCAGATTCTTTACCAACTGAGCTATCAGGGAAGCCCATGCAAAAAAGGAAGACTAATTAAAATGAAAAGATTAGAAATTTTACCTCTAATTTTGGCAGAGATATGGGGTAAACCGTCATTTCAGACTTTTGTTGATTGGATTGAAGTTGGTAGTGACTAATATGAGACTAATTGACAGTATTTATCAAAAATTAAAATGTACACACTCTCTGACCTACCTGTGAGTTATTCTGCAGATACATCACACATGTACATAAAACTGTATATATAATGATATTCATTACCAAATTGTGATGGTAAATGGTTGGAAAAAACATAACGCCCAACAATAAGGGGCTGGTTAAATAAATTATGGTTTACCCAAGCAATTAAATACTTTACAGCCATCAAAAGTAGTAAGGTGTGGTACAACCATGGTGGAAACAGTTGGCAGTTTCTTGTAAAGTTAAACATACACCTGCCCCATGATCCACCCAAGAGAAATGAAAACACATACCCAATAATAGATGAATAGATAAAGAAATTGTGGCAAATTAATATAAAAAACATTATGCAACAAACAGGAGTGAAGTACTAAGCATGTAATAATGTGGTTTTATCTCAGAAATATTCTCTTAAAAGAAAGAAGCTAGATATTGTATACCCTGTGGTTCTTTTTACATAAATTTCAAGAAGAGGTAAAACTAAGCTATGGTGATAGAAAATTGAAACAGTGACTGCTGTTAGTGGTGGAGATAGTGGACACCTGAAGGAGGCCTAAGAGAACTTTTGAGGGAAGTGGTTGGAATGTAGGGCTGGGGTTCTATGGGGAGGGGTGAGAAGAACACTATTTTTCTATTACTGTAGAGTCTTTTCCTATTTGAATTTGTTACCACCTACATATATTGTCTGTTCAAAATAAACCCCAAAACACCCCTTTAATTTAAATTGCTCTGAGAAAATATGTAGCTCTTCTTAGTGAAAACTGATCATCTCAAACAAGGAATTTTTCTCTTTTCCATTCTTATTTTCCCTCTGTTAATAGTTCCATTTTGTATTAATAATCAAACTTCTTAAAATACCATCTCCCTATACTTTGGTATTAACCAGAATCAAAATGAATTTTCCATTCTATTGCAAATACTTATTTTAAAATATTTGAGTGTTTAAGGGAAATGTGAGCCATGGATTTTTTTTTATTCTGCTTTCCTGAATTGAGTGACAATTAATATTAGAGAAGGGATGAGTCCTTATAAGAAGTTAATAAACTTGCCATGATCCTCATAAGCTTTCTTCCCCTTCAGAGGTGATGACTAGACAATTGCTTCTTGTAACTCAAAAGGTTTGGACTTTGAACTGAACATTTGACAAAAATCATGCCTCTTGCCCTGGTGTGTATAAAACACATCTCTGCAAGTGATAATATATTGACAAACACATTTGTGTTTATGCCTTGCTTTTCATGTAGTGCATTGATACTAAGGAGAGAATGAATGTCTGCTTCATCTTGATACTGTCTTTAACTGCTTCTATTTGTGATGGTGTATATTGATTCCAATATTCCATATTGATACCAATATGTTGTTCAGTTGCCCAGTCATGTCCAACTCTTTGCGACCGCATGAACTGCAGCACGCCAAGTCTCCCTGTAGCTCACCATCTCCTGAAGTTTGCCAAGTTCATGTCCATTGCATTTGTGATGTCCTCCAGCCATCTCATCCTCTGATGCCCTCTTCTCCTTCTGCCCTCAATCTTTCCCAGAATCAGGGACTTCTCCAATGAGTCAGTTATTTGCATCAGATGACCAAAATATTGGAGCTTCAGTTTCAGCATCAATCCTTCCAATGACCAATGACTATTCAGGGTTGATTTCCCTTAAGATTGACTGGTTTGATCTCCTTGTTGTCCAAGGGACTTTCAGGAGTCTTATCCACATCAATATGCTTTTAATTTTACCCTAAAATGAACTTTTAAAAAAGCTCTTAGTCACCAAAATATGGGCTCATATAGTAGGATGTATTTCAATGCAAAATGTTTACCTTATAGCCTAGCATTGCACCTTCCAAAGGAGACTGAGCTCCTCTCACACTCTGTTGCACTACAGAATTCAGAGTCCTAGTTACCAAGCTTGATGTATTCAAACATCAGCATATATTTTGCCTTTTCATTTGTTTGTTCCTTCCAGTTTTATTGCTATACAGCTGATATACAGCACTGCATAAGTTTAAAGTGTACAGCATAATGATTTGATTTACGTACACCATGAGGTGATTTTTCACAATAAGTTTAGTGAACATCCATCATCTCACATAAATTAAAAAATTTGAAAAATAGATTTTTTTCTTATGATGAGAACTCAGTATTTACTCTCTTAACAGTTTTCATATATAGCAAAAAGCAGTATTAATTATCTTCATCATGTTATATATTACATTCCTAGTACTTGTTTTATCTTATAACAGGAAATTTGCACCTTTTGACCACCTTCATCTAATTCTCCCTCCCCTCACCCCTGTTTCTGGTAACCACAATTTTGTCTTTTTCTATGGATTTGCTTATTTGTTTTTGAAATGTAATTGATCTACAACACTGCTAGTTCCTGTTACATAAAAGAGTGATTTGATATTTCTATGCATTTCAAACTGATCACCATGATGATAAGTCTAGTTAGGTCACCATACAAAGATATTACATAGTATTTGATTATATTCCCCACACTGTACATTTCATATCCATAACTCATTTATTTTGCAACTGGAAGTATGTATCTCTTAATCTCCCTCACCTATTCCTTTCTTCTCCCACCTGCCTCCCCTCTGGCAACCACCTGTTTGTTCTCTGTTTCTATGACTGTTTCTGTGTTGTTAAGGTTTGCACATTTGTTTTGTTTAGATTCCGCATGTAAGTGAAATCATACAGTATATTCCTTTCCTATTTCACTTAGCATAATACTTCCTAGGTCCATCTGTGTTATCACAAGTGGCAAGATTTTATTCTTTTTATGGCTGAGTTATATTCTATTGTATGAATATGCGCATATTCTTTATCCATTCATCTATTGATAGATATTTCAGTTGCATACATATCTTGGCTATTGTAAATAATGCCACAGTGAATATAGGGGTACATATATCTTTTCTGATTAGTGTTTTTTTTTTCCTTCAAATAAATATCCAGGAATGAAATTGCTAGACCTATTTTGCCTTTTAAATGACAGTTCAAGCTGCTTTGTTGTTGGTTTGTTTTCTTTACTTTGTTTTTAAAATATGGTTGCAATATTAGTACTTTACCTTACAGCTCTCTGGCCCATCTTACTGTGCCATCTCCTTGCTTATTTCTAGTTAGAGTTATATTTTCACAGATTGAAGGAAAAAGGAGTTCATTTTGCATGACTCAAAAGAATCAAGTGGACTAAGGTTGTAATTACAATTAAGTCACTGAGCCTTGCTGTACCTTAACTTGAGGAGAGGGGTGCTTTGATATGGCAAGTGGTTTCTAAGTGCCTGTTGCTGACACTTGTCTATCTTGGAACAGCTGTATTCATGGCTAAATCACAAAATTATGTGAAGTGGCCCAGGCAGTCTTGCAAAAATCCCTAAAGAGGCTATGGACATGCAAATTGGTTTCTTAAAATGAACCTTGCAACAGAGTACAGGAAATTCTCCTTTCAAAATTAAATATCATAGTTCTCTTTGAAAGCAACTTAAACAACTGTTTAAGAAGCTATAGATAAGAATATAAACATATACTGAAATTAAAAAAATATGACATTCTTCTTGTAAAACAGCTGTTCTAAGAATGTACATGTTGGAAATGGTATGTCAGTTCCAGCCTCAGGAGGAAATGAGAAGGAGGCTTTGAAGGAAGAAATTTCTTAAACTCAAAGGTCCCAAAGGAGGTTGGAGGGTCATCACATGCCTTTCAGGGCCACAGGAAAGCACCAAGTTTTGACCAGTGGGCAGAAGCAGAGGGGAAGGGAGAGTGTAGACCAGAGCCTTTACTGGGGTTTCCATGGGAAAGGCAAGGCAGGGCAGGGTAACCAGTTTAGGACTGACTGGTTGAAATAGTTTCAGCAGGCTTTGGGGCAAGTGAATCTCTAGTTGTTACCTGGCCCTGGGATGATTTTTTTTTTTTAATTTTTCATTTCATTTTACTATTATTATAATTGTCTGCACTGGGTCGTCATTGTTGCACATGGGCTTTCTCTAGTGGTGAGCAAGGGCTGTTCTCTAGCTGTAATGTGCAGGCTTCTTATTGTGTTGGCTTCTCTTGTTGCAGAGCATTGGCTCTAGGGTGTGTGAACGTCAGTAGTTGTAGCACATAGCTCAGTAGTTGCAGCTCAAGAGCTCTAGAGCGTGAGCTCAGTGGTTGTGGGGCCCAGATTTAGTTGCTCTGCAGCATGTGGAATCTTCCTGGATCAGGGATTGAACCCATGTCCCCTGCATTAGCAGGTGAATTCTTTACCACTGGACCAGCAGGGAAGTCCCCTAGGATGATTTAGGGCAGCAGAAATGTTGACTTGCCGTATGAGAGTTAGTTAAGAAAGTAGTTGGGGGACACTGGCTTGGAATTGGTTTTCATATGATAGATGTGCTCCCTCCAGTCCTTTTTTTAATCTCTAAAAATTAATTAGCCTTTAAAAATTAATTAGCCTCTCCCCAGTCAGTGAGACCATAAATGCCAGAACATCAAGAATACAGAAAATAAGTTAATTTAGTTAATATAACTGGCCCTGTGATGAAAGGATGCCAAATAGACAAATTCAGAACATAAGAAAACACAGAATAACTATTTTAAGGCCAAGTTTACATACTCAGTGTGTTCTATGAGTTTGATGAGTGAAATTATTCTGCTTCCCCTCTTATGTAGAATTTAAAATGTTTTTCCTTCTTGACCCATTAAAGATTTAAAGAGAAAAAAAGTTTCATGATGAAACTACCCCTCCATTTTTTTTTTTATTTGCATGCACTAAAATTTACTCTTTTTTATGTTGAGTTGAATGTTGTTGTTCTGTCAGGTCTGACTCTTTGTGACCCCATGGACTGCAGCATGCCAGGCTTCCCTGTCCATCACCAACTCCTGGAGTTTGCTCAAACTCATGTCCATTGAGTCAGTGATGCCATCCAACTATCTTAGCCTCGGTCACTCCCTTCTCCTCTTGCCCTCCATCTTTCCCAGCATCAGTTGTATGAGTTTTGACAAATACATGGTGTTATTTAACCAAAACCACAGTAAAGAAACACACTGATTTCATCACCCTCCAAAATCTCCTGATGTTGCCCTTTGTACTCAGCTCTAACCCCAGCAGCCACTGATCTGTTCTCCATCCCTAGAATTTTGTCTTTTCCTGAGAGTGCCTTTTGAGTCTGACTTTTTTCACTTAGCATAAAACATTTGGACTTTCACTTAGCATAAAACAGTCTGACTTCTTTCACTTAGCATAAAACATAAAACAATATCCATGTTGTTTCATTCTAAAGTAGATTTATCACTTGACTAATATGATATAATATTAGGGAAAAAAGTGTATATTCTCATGTCCTCTGACCAAGAATCTGTTCTAAGAATGTATATGTTGGATATGACATGGTAAAGTTAGTACTGCCACCAGAGGAAAGAGGGCAAGGCTTTGGAGGAAGAAGTTTATTATACTCACAGGTCAAAACAATCAACAACTGAAGAAATATAAGTCCTTAGTTAAAGGCTGCAGTAGGGTGTGTTTCAGAGATGGAATGAGTAGGGGGTATGATATGGTCCTTGGGACAGAGCTGGGACCATGCCCTTTGCACGACCACTGCAGAGGAGGATAAAGAGACAATTTGGAGTGTGTCATCCTTCTGTAGATATCTGGGCATTCATTCAGCAGCAGGCTCACTAATTTATGAAAACCCACTCCCTATCACCTCCAAACTTCCTCCACACAAGGTTAGTTGGGGGCATATCACCATTATTTAGAGAAGAGGCATCATTGTAGTGAATCTTCTCTCTGTACTCTTCAATGTGTCCCATTGTTATAATTTTATTTTCATGTTTACCAGTCCACCCTTTATTGGAATATTCATTGCAGATTTTTAGGTCTCAGCAGAGCATTTGCTTTTGGTGACTGAAGGGTGTATCTTAACCCGGGAACTTTTGACAAAAATTTAGCTAAACAAGACCTGACTTATACGTAGCTTAGAACTGAGCTCATCATTTTGTTGTAGGCTGTTCAACACTCCTATTCCTCCCTCAAAGTGGGGAAATGGAAAGAGATTTTAAAATGTTTCTCTATTGGATATAAATGCCTGATCAGGCCAAGTTGAAGTACTATTTAGTAAAATCTTGATAAGCTACTTAATTGTCTGTGAGGAATATATTAGGTTTTTTCTGTTATAGATTGTTATGTTAAACTCCATTTCTGACCTTCATGACTACATTGACAAAAGCCAATTGACAGAGGACTTAGGGGGAACTTTGGAGTATCGCCACAGTCAGTGGATAAATCATCGAACCGTGAGTACCAACTCACGTGCCCTTTTCAGCGTCCCTCCTGGTGTTTTAGAGACAGGGACTTAAAGATCAACTGTTGGACAGTTATTGCCCATGACTACCTAACATCGGGAAGGTTGGGTTTTCTAAGTGACAGGCTGGGGGAGAGAAAGGGTGGAAGGATAAAAGCTGGGGCTTCTCCTGCTGATTACTTTGATCTTGCCTCATTTTCTGGTATAGCGGTCCCGGGGGACTTGATTTAGAGCGTACCCAGGGAGTTTGCAAAATACCAATACTCTGCTATACCTCAAGGAATTTAATATACTTGATCTGGGATGAGTGTCAGGCATTAGTGGGCCACAAGCTCCCCAGATAATTCTAGTGTACAGACAGATTCAAACCTACCAAGTCAGAAGAAGCTGCATCTAAATGTAGACACCACTGCGTATTGTCTGAGCTCAGGTGACTTACTAAACCTCTCTAAGTTTGTCTGCTCCTCTGTTAAAATGGGACTAACACAGTGGGTTCTCAGCTGAAGGCGATATTGCCTACAGAGGACATTTGTTTTTAGGCAGGCATTTTTTATAATCATAACTTGGGGAGAAGGATGTTAACTGGCATATCCTGGGTAGAGGCCAAGGATTCTGCAAAACATCATATAATTATTTCACAGATAAAGGAACAGACCTTCAGAGTGAAGAGGTAATTTATCTAAGGTCATTGGATCAAGTTGTAGCAGAGCCAAGACTAAGATCAAACTTTTTTGAGTCAACCTATTAGGGTCAGTTCCTTTGTACCTTTTCCACTTAGTGATTATTCACTAATCAGATGCATGGAATCAAGTTATTTTGTTAATAGGACTCACCACAGGAAACCTCTGGCTTTCCCCTGTTTCTAGGATGCCATTTCCAGGCATTACACCTGATTGTTTTAATTCTTACTGTTACATTTGTCAGGTACTCATCTGTGCCTAAGATTCTTTCAGATTTGCCATTCCTTTTGATCCTCAAAAAAAACTCCTGAAAAGAAAAAAAAAAAAAAAACCAAACAGGTTGACTGGATCCTGCCTTCTTTCCTTCCTTACTGCCCTAGTAATATGATCTTGGCCAGTTCATTTGACCTGCTAGAACTTCAGTTCTCTCTTTCATAAATTGGAGATGAAATACCTCCCACTCTAGATTACTGAGGTGCTAGACAAATGTAGAGCACAAAGTTCAATGCATAGCCTACTGTGTACACTCAGGAAATACTTCTGTCCTATTAAGATAGCATAATGGTGAATGTTAATCCCTCCACACTGTTATGATTGTCTGACCTTCCAGGCCATTGAAAACTTTGCTCTGGCATTGAAGACCACTGCCCAGATGCTTCAGACTTTTGGGGACTGCCTGGCTACAACAGAGCTGCCCAGAAGCATCCTTTCCACTGAAGACCTTCTCATGTCCCACACGAGGCAGCGTAACAAGTTGCAGGTGAGTGGTCAGTGATCTGTCAGAGGCCAGCCTCTGTGCTGGCAGATGGTCAGCTTCTTGGAGAGTTCTGGGAGAAAAATTAAAAGTTAAGCCCTCTTCTCCAGTGACTTGGCAGCCACTAACCATCTTTAATCTTCCAGATAGGCAATATATGAAGAGAAAAATCTTTGAATGACTGGTAGTACATGTGAAAGAATTGAAGGTAAGACCTGTGAAAAGCAGCCCCTCCAAAGGGAACTCATTCTGGCTTGGTGCTGGTGAGACAAGGTGTGTGAGCATCCGTTCAAGGCACACACTCCTATGATCTGCTCAAGACAGAACAGGATATAATGGACTGAAATTGCAGGGAAGGAGGGAGGGATGGGAGTTGGCTCTTGAAGCATAAGTTTTCCTGAGGTGGTTGTGAAGTTTGGGGGCAGAATAATAAGCTGGCTTATTGCTTCACTTCTCTCAGGGATGTATCTTTTTAGTTGGGAACCAGTTTGAGAAATAGGACTATGAAGGCACTCTGAATTGGATTTAAGGAGAGGCACCTATTAAAGGATTCATAAAAGCATGTCAGAACCTGCTGGGAAGGCATCTTGGCAGATTCTTTTAGGCCATGCAGTAAAGAGAAATCTTCTCAGGTCTTACTGGATGGGTGTCAGCCCCTTTCCGCCACCAGAAGCACAAACAGACCAAAGCTATTATTTGGCAAGAGAGGGCTTCCCCAATGGCTCAGTGAGTGAAGAATCTGCCTGCAATACAGACAACACAGGAGATGGAGGTTCAAGCCCTGGTTTGGGAAGATTCCCTGGAGGAGGAGATGGCCACCCAGTCCAGTATTCTTGCCTGAAAAATCCCATGGACAGAGGAGCCTGGCCAGCTGCAGTCCTTGGGATCACAAACAGTTGGACACCACTGAGAGACTAAGCACACAAGCCTTCCAGGACTCAACAAGGCAGCAAATCAAGGATTGAAGGTTGACACATCATAGCATTACATGTATTCTTGCTGTGTTGAGCATAAGAAGAGCTGAACTCTCTTATCTGTGACCCAAAATATGCAAAAATTTTGTTTTGCTAGGTGGTTGAGTTTTTATTTATTCAGCATATATTTATGACCTAACATCACATTCCAAGGAAACAAACAAAATGCAAACTCAAAGAACACATAGTTTAGTTAGGGAAGTCAGAGTCAGGTAGTTGAGGCAAATTAATTATTCCATGTGTCAGGAAAAACTGTTTAATTCTGTCTTTAAGGGTCTTGGTTACCAAAAAGAGTTCAAAATATATTCTCAGAATTTCTCTGAGTAATCAAAAGGTCTGGTTTGAAACTGTAGAAACTGGAAAATTCCCTGGAAATGCCTTTTAGAAGCTTGACCTATTTCATTGCCAAACATATTGGCCAAGTTCACCTCCCATGGTTCTTGGAAGATGGCATGGGGTGTGGAAGGCTGGGTCTAGGGCACCTCTCTGAAGTCTGCTAGAAAAGGGTTGGTGATCCATGCCCACAGGTCACAGACCACAGAAGACTGCAGAGCATCAATTAATGTATGGGTGTGATGCTGAACATCAGCGCCTATAGGAAGGCACTGTGAACAGGGCTCCAGCCTGGGCTCATGAGCAGGTGTGTTCTGTATGTCGTTCCAAGAAGGGTTGGGAGAGGTTGCAGAGCAGAAGAATCAAGATGACCAGGCGGCCAATCAGGGAGGCCTCTGGAGAAAAGATAAACAGAAATTGGATTTTAGATGAGGACACATATCTGAGGGGTGAAACCAGCTGTAGGGGCAGTGAGGGTTCACAGGGAAGGTAGATAAGTAAGTATTCTGTCATCTCTACACAGGCAGTGTTCCACAGAGGTAAAGGGAGGGGTAGAACCAGCCTCCGAGATGGAGTAGTGTCATTTTTTTTAGTTCACAGTAGCCAGAAGTTCTTGGAATTAAAACAGGATGTGTCCAAGTCAAATTATTATGCTGTACACCCTGAAACTTACACAGTGCTATATGTCAATTATATCTCAGTAGAACTGGACGAAAAAAGTGTATTAAGTGAATTTTGGTTAAATTTAAATTATTCTGTCTTTATTTGACCAAGTAATATTAATATTCTTTTAAAGACAATACATAGTGTTTCTTCTGTGATTACTAATTGTTGACCTGGTACAACTTTGATTTCTTTGCTTCATATCTTATAAATTAGAAGCAAAAATTCCAAAATCATTAAACTGGATTTAATTTTTCCTCTTTCTGATCCAAAAATGCTTTAGAGAGAGAAAGGGTTTATACTACAAAAAAAGGAACACTGTTTAAACTTTTACTAATAACTCAGTTTTATGACCACTTATATATAATTTTATTTTATTTTGATTAGAGTATTTTACCTAATTTTTAAACCAAAGTTTCCATAACTAATTGAATATTTTTTTTATTTAGAAAGCATATTTTCCAAATGAAAAAATAGTGTAAGACTGATTCTCAGAACAGTGAACTTTTAAGTCCATTTAAATATCTACACAAGTTACAGTGTGTGATTTATGGCTTCCTCCAGGCCTGGAGAGTTTTTGTCTGAACAACACAGCATTAAGAGACTTGGTTTAATGTCTTGATTTCCTTTCCCCAGGGGATCTTTGAGAGCCCTTATTTTAGATTCACATAAGTACATAGTTACCTCTACAATCAGCCAATGAAAGTAGGAGAGTTGTTGAACTTGAGGACTTTTACAGCCTCTGCACTGATTCTGTATGTAGTTGTTACCACATTCTTCAGAACTATCGTCAAAAGAATCTCTTCTGTCTTGACCACACTTGTATATCAAACCAATCTGGTTACAAAGAAAAAAAGTCTCAGAACATTCATAGCAGAAGAAACAAACCAAACTTCCAAGCAAACATCACTTTAAAGGAGTTCTTCTCTAGAAGAAACATAAATTCTTTCCTTAAGGCAGAGCCACACGTTGGCTCTTAATCCATATTTATGATCAAAAAGGCTCCCAATAGCAATATGTGCTCTTTTCTGTCCAATCAGATTGTAGGCACTTGGGCTTCATATTAAGACTTAAAACTTTATTTTCTCTGTGATTTCGCCATACCTTCCCTGGTAAAGAATTCTTCAGCAATGCAGGAGACCTGGGTTCGATCCCTGCATTGGGAAGATCCCCTGGAGAAGGGAAAGGCTACCCACTCCAGTATTCTGGCCTGGAGAATTTCATGGACTGTATAGTCCATGGAGTCACAAAGAGTTGGACACAATTGAGTGACTTTCACTTCACTTCACTTCGCTATACCATCTGAGGAAGAGAAAGGAAGAGAGAGTCCTGTACACACATTCAGTACTGGTCTTCTTTGGTGGGAGACTAAGGTCCTCATAAGTCAAGACAAGCACACATAACTCAGCACACTCATCCCATCCCTGTATGTGCTTCTTGCACATGGATGGACAGTTGGAGCATACATTTAGAGCATGTGCACACAGGGACCCCAAACTCCTCTGAAAATTGGATCCTTCTCCAAGGAGAGCTCTCATTTCCTGAGGAAAGGCAGCCTTAACAGAATACAGGCCATCTCTCAGTGTACAAGCAGTATGGCCACACTCACCTGCTGCCACTAGGATCCTATCTGCACAAGAGAAAACTCACCAAAACTCCCAAAAACATATATAGGTGTTCCCATAAGCAAGTCCCTGAGCTCCTCCTCCACCCTGAATGCCAGCAGTAAAAAAACAAACAAACAAAAAAAAACCCCCCCAAAAACAAAAAAACAACCAAGAATTTCTTTCCATGGGAACAAAACTAATGATCCTTGGGCTGTAGGACCACTGGGAAGCAAGTTCCCATTCACATGAAGCAAGGGAAATTGAGGCTTGCCTCATACCATATATAAAGATTCTCTTAAAATTGATCAAAGAACTAAATGTAAAGTCTAAAACTATAAAACACTTAGAGGAAAATACAGATGTAAATCTTCATGACTTTAGATTAAGCAATGGTTTTGTAGATATGACACCAATTCTTGTCAACCATAAAAAGAAAGTAACTCAATTTAAAAACATGTAAAGGTAGTTAGGACTCCTTGCTGTCACTGCTGAGGGCCTGGGTTCAATCCCTGATCTGGGAACTAAGATCCTGCAAGCCACAGCAGTGCCAAACAAAAAATAAGTAAAAATTAAAAAATAAAAATGGGCAAAGGATTTGAATAGACGTGGGTTGCAAAGAGTCAAACACAACTAAAGTTACTTAGCATGCACACATATATCCAAAGAAGGTATATAAATGACTTATTAATTCCCAGGTGGCTCAGTGATTAAGAATCTGCTTGCCAGTGCAGGAGATGCAGGAGACACAGATTCAATCCCTGGATTGGGAAGATTCCCTGGAGAAAGAAGTGGCAACCCACTCCAGTATTCTTGCCTGGGAAATCCCACAGACTAAGCAGCCTGGTGGACCACAGTCCATGGAATCACAAGTCAGACACAACTGAGCGACTGAGCACAAAGCACGTGAAGACATCTGCAATATCATTAGTCAGTAGAGAAATGAAAATTAAAACTGCAATGATATACCTACTAGGATGGCTATGCAGTCTGACTGCTGTATTCATGGTTCTTAATCCAAGGATTCAAACTACTGTGGATTGAAAATACTTTAAAAAAATTCCAGAAAATTTCTAAAAGTGAAAAATGGAAATTTTCTTGCACCTGGAAATGACTTACATAGCATTTACATTCTATTAGGTATTATAAGTAATCTAGAGATGACTTAAATATGCAGGAAGATGTCTGTATGTTATATGCAAATATCATACCATTTTATATAAGGGACTTGAGCATCTGCAGATTTTGGTATCTGAGGCGGGTCCTGGAACCAATCCCCTGTGGATACCAAGGGACAACTGTGCTGGCATTGTAAATTTGACTCTATTTTGTTTGCAGGAAATCCAAATAATAATGTTAATTTTATTTGGAATTTAAAATACCTATATAATCTGATGGTTTTTGAAAACATGTTTCCTAGCTTTGTCCACTCAAAAGAACCTGGAAGCAAAGACACCCTAGTAACAATGCATATGCCAGCTAGCACTCAGATCTTGATTTATAAATATCACTTTCTATCAAAAGAATGCAAGACTCCTTGGAGAAATAGGAAAATATAAAAGACAAGAAAGGAAAATACAAGAAGGACCTGGAATATTTTGTTTTGCCAAGAACCTAGAAAGGTCCAAAAGATTAATCGAGGCTCAATCAAAAAGGGAGAACCAGCTCAAAGAGGGGCTCACAATGACCAAAGTTGGACACTTTAACCATCAAAAACAATAATGACTACAATTGACTAACATAGTAAAAAATAAAAAAATTTGAGTATGTAATAATAACCCCCCAAATAATAGAAAACTTATCTAGTGGCCCATACTCTTTTAAAATGTGAGTGATTAAAAGAATAAAAGGCCAAAGAACTGGTCCTGATTAAAGACTAAAGAGATATGACAATTAAATACAGTGTTCAAGTCTAGATTGGACCCTGGATTATAGAAAAAGGAATTTTATAAGGGATGTTACTGGGACAACAGGGGAAATCTGAATATGAAATTTGCATATTAGATATTGTATCAGTGTTAAACATCTAGATTTTTTTTTACTATTGTGGGTATTTAAGAGTCATGCTCTTAGGGCAAAAGGTGCACGATATCGGTGAATGACGTTAGATGGTTTAGAAACAATCTATGGGACAGGGAGAAAAGAAGGAATAGAGGGAAGGAGAGAGAAAGCAAATGTGACAAAATGTGAACAGTTGGTGAATAGGGATGAAAAAATATATGGGAATTCTTTGTAAGTCTGTTTTCATTTCAAAATTTTAAAGTTTAAAACATGAAAAGTCTCTCTCTCTCTCTCTCTCTCTCTCTTTTTTTTACAGGAAACAGCTAATAAATGTAAACAAATAACAGAGTTAGAAAACCCTAATGAAATAAATGACTAGGGCAACAATCATCAATCATTAGGTTGTATCTGACTCCTGTGTTGATTTGTCAGTGGGCTGCTCTATATAGGTATTAAATATTTTGAATTGTCACCACTGTGAACAAGGACAAACTCCATTTTGGGTTTGGGCAACTTACCTTTATGCTGTCCAAGTACCATAGTTCCTCAGTCTTTCCCTCCATGTTTATGGCAGATTTTGGTAACCCTATTGAAGCTTTTCTATAGGGAGAAGGAGAAGGGAAAAGCTAAGAGCATTTACTAATGACTGCTTTTTTCCCCCCCATCATATCTTGTTTTTAATCCATCTGCAACCTAATTTCTTTAGACTATTTTTAATTCATCCAACCTACAAATATTTAATGAGCACTGATGAGATAAGAAATGAGGGCTGATACCTGAGAGTGGAAAAGAAGGGTTATGTCCAGTTCCCAGGCAGGAATACCAGCCAGGTGGCCGACTTGGGGCATTACCTGGAGAGGACAGAGCCACAGGGTCTGTCCAGAGAATTGTGATCAGAGGAGTCAAATCTGTCATCAGCCCAGATCTTAGGACAAGTTTGAGGCTGGCTGTAGGTAGTGGAGGCCTTCCCAGGGTTGAATCCTGAGATGAGATGGGGGACAAGGAGCAAAGGTATAAGGTCGAGAGGGCCTGGATTTCTGTGTGACTGGAGTAAGAGAGTATAAAACCCTTCCACGGGGAATGAATGTGCTCTGCATCAGTGAGGTTGGTGGTGGCTGGCCTGCAGGAAGAGATTTAATGTTTGTGTGCATCGAGGAGATTGCTTGGTAATTATGGGCCTGTTCTTACCTTTAGGGCATACCAAACCAGCATCTTGAGTGATCCATGAACCAAACCCCAAATTCACAGCCGCAAAATTCTAGGCCATAGTCCATCCCTTTTGGCCTACCTTAAATGTAATGATCAGGGCACTGAGAGATCACCTGCACTATGCAAGCAGAGGACTAGAGCCACTGGATTTGGAAGGAGATAACCTGACATCTTCCTCAGTTGCAATGCCCTAAGTCCCCACAGAGACTTATTGAGAATAAAATTGACTTGGAAATATGAATCTTCCCATGTCAAACTGAAATTGCTGCTCCTCTCCTCTGTACTTTGATAGTTGAACAAGGCCACACTTTGGGTTAGGGGCAGGACTAGCAGGTATTTATTGATGAGACCAGATGAAGTTTTTTTCATGGTTAACTGTATGGCATCTTCCATCACTTAACATTTGATATCTGTCATTTTCTTATTTCTGACCACTATCTTGGATTAAAAAACAGATTTTATTAACTAATTATTTTAAATTTATAGTAACTTGAGATATGCACAAAATTTAAGAGTTGTTGCTTTTGGAGTGGGAACGTGGATGGGCTGTGGATATAACACTTGGTGTTTCAATATGTGCATGTGCGCATGCTAAGTCACTTTAGTCATGTCTGACTCTTGCGATGCCATGGACTATCGCCCGCCAGGTTCCTCTGTCCATGGGACTCTCTAGGCATGAATACTAGAGTCGGTTGTCATGCCCTCCTCCAAGGGATCTTCCCGACTCAGGGATGGAACATGCATCTCTTATGTCTCCTGCATTGACAGGCAGGTTCTCTACCATTAGCACCACCTTGGAAGCCCCTTTTCAATATGTACTCTTTTATATATTTTGAATTTTGTATCATGTGTTTGTATTATTTATTAGGAGCAAGTTAATCAATTTAAAAAGCTATAGCTTGACTTCTACTTAGCACTTAATTTGCTAAATATAATAATATAATAAAAATATACTTACCATTGTACTCAGGCTTCCCAGGTGGTGCTAGTGGTAAAGAACCCGACTGCCAATGCAGGAGACATAAGAGACTCGGGTTCGATCCCTGGATTAGGAAGATCCCCTGGAGGAGGCAATGGCACCCCACTCCATTATTCTTGCCTGGAGAATCCCAGGGACAGAGGATCCTGGTGGGCTATAGTTCGTAGGGTCACAAAGAGTCAGACTGTGGCAACTTAGAATGCACACATGCACCACTGTACTGCACTCATCTGAAGTCTACCTAGAATTTGCTTTGAATTCCTTCTCAGAGAGACTATATTTTCCTTTCTCTAGGATGAGCTGAAATTACTTGGAAAGCAAGGGGCCACATTGCTGTCATGCATGCAAGAACCAGCAACCAAAAGTCCCACCAGCAAACTCAGTCTCAATGAAGTTGAGAATGTAGCTACCGTGGAAAGGTGAGTGAGAAGGGTGGTATCTGCTTTTTCTGGAGAGAATACATAGAACCAGATGATGTGAAACAACCAAAAACAGATTGGAACAGCTGCCAATGGGTCTTGGTGGGGTCAAGGAAGAATATTTGAGACAACAAAGGAAAAACCATAGTGTCCTTCTGGCATCCATCTACAGAGATCTTTTTATGAGAAAGCCATTCCCTCCTCCTATGATCTGCTTTCATCCCAGGATGTCAAGGAATATGGTAGTATTTACTGAGCCTTCATTGCCAAAAAACTGTTTGGTTAGGTGCTCTGTTTGCACACCTGTCTTCTTAGGTAGAAAGAAATAGGCAGAAAGGTAAGATTACCTGGAGCACATTTTAAAGGTTACCTGGGGCACATTTTAAAGCATGGCAGATGCATCTGAGGTTTCTGCCTAGCGCTGAGGGTATCCTGATTGAAAATGGAAAATAGGGGAACCAGCTGAACCACGAGAAAGTCATAGGTGACACAGACTTCAGTGTGAGGAGATCATCACAATTAGTAACCCTGACTGAAAACATGGGTGTTATCTGCATGAGCCTATGGAAATGAACGCTAATCACATGTCTTTTCTTGTTCTTTCTTGACAGGTTATTAGTTCAGTTGGATGAAACAGAAAAAGCCTTTAGTCAGTTCTGGTCTGAGCATCACTTGAAGCTTAATCAATACCTACAACTACAGCACTTTGAACACAATTTTTGTGAGGTGTTATTTTCTTGTTTAATAAAACTTCCTTTTAGGGTTCTGTTAGGGGAGTGCATAGTTCAGTGACTTCTGGTTCTCTTTTTCCCCTTGAACTCTGGGTATCAGGCTCCACATCTTCTTCCTAGTCCAGTCCTTTCCATATGTCTTTGATTCCTCTTCTCACCTTTTTAGTGGGGGTAGCAATGTACCAGAATCCCATTTTCCCACATGATATTTCAGTGATGGTTTACCTTCCTTTTTGTTTCAGCGTAGCTTCAACATTCCATCTATACATTGTCTCAGCACCCCCAGGTGTGTTTTTTTTTTTTTTAACATAATTCATTTACTTTAATTGGGGATTAGATGATATGCTTTTAACATTATTATTTGCATTTTGAATTTATTCTTCAGCCATTCATCACATTTACGAGGTATTTATTAAGGCATTTCAGTACCCCCAGTTTAATCTGAAAGCTGATGAGCTGTTTAAAAAAAGTCTATATAGATATGCACATATCCTGAATCGTTTTTGGATTTTCAAGTTGTCTAGAGTATAACAAGCCTATACTTGTAGATAGGATGTCCATTGGCTTATTTCTGGGCTTTCTAAAATGTCTTGTAGGTTAAGCTAGCCCTGGACAACTTGTTGGCGGAGCAGGCAGAGTTTTCAGACATCGGAGACAATGTGGTGCATGTGGAACAACTTCTTAAGGAACACAAAAAACTGGAAGGAGAAGGCCAGGTTTGTTTGTTTGTTTTTTTCCATTTTTGTGGACTGGGAAGAAGGTCCCTGTGGATGGTGACAGATCATGGCCACTCATTAATTGTTAGAAGGTTGCCAAAAGACACAGGATTGGCCAAATACTGACTTTTTAGTGACCCCACTCCCACCTCCAGGTCCCCAGGGAATTATGCACGTTAACAACTATGAGGAATAATGCAGGCAGTACGGAGTTCTGTTAAGGCTGCCCGAGCACCCAGTTGAGGCTGGAGGCTTAGGTGGGGTGAGAGTTCCAGGTGGCCCTGCCCATTCATTCAGTGACAAGGCTAGAGAGGAATAGCAGGAAGTAAGGTCACATTGGGTGTGTTACCCACTGCCGGATATGGAGGCGGGCTTGGTGGTAAGGAGGGGAAACTTTAAAAGGAGAAACCAGAAAAAAAAAAAACCAACTAGTTTTATAATAAGCAAGATGGTGAAAAAGGGGAAATTGGTCCACATTAGTTCTGTTGCTACACAGAACTGGTAAAGCTTTCTCCTTTCTCATGCTCAAAGAATTGTAAATATCAGACATGTAAAGAAATAAATGCCTCAAATTCTCATCCCCAAGTTAAACAGTTTCCCAGATCTGTACACAGATCAGCACTTAGGAGTGGGTCTATCTTCAATCTCTACAGATTTGGCTTGTTACAAATTAAGAAAGACCAGTCAGTTCTTACCAGAGAAGTTCCTCTCTGCTTTTCTTTAATTAGGGTCCCTTTTTTGTCTCTTGGGAACTAAGTCTTCTATGGTTGCCATTTCCATTCTGAGCTAATCTGGAGGCATCCTTCCTCTAGATTATGGTAGATGGTAATTTCATTGTACTAGAGGTTGACTTCTCAAAGTGTGATCCTCTGGCCAGCAGCATCAATGTCACCTCAGTGAGAACTTATTAGAAATATGGGGAAATCTCAGGCCCCGCCTCAGAATCAAAATCTGCATTTTAATAAGATCTCCAGGGGTTTGACATGCACATTAAAGTTAAGCGTTTGACATTCACATTATTGTTAGAGACATTTGCTGTTGTTTGGTTGCTAAGTTGTTTCTGACTCTTGGTGACCCCATGGACTGTAGCCTGCCAGGCTTCTCTGTCCATGGAATTTTCCAGGCAAGAATACTGGAATAGGTGCCATTTCCTCCTTCAGGGGATCTTCCTGACCCAGGGATTGAACCTGCACCTCCTACGTTGGTGGGCAGATTCTTTACTGCTGAGCCAGTGGGGATATTCCCTAAAAAATGGTAACAAATGTAAGGCAAGGCCACTCTGGCTCTAAGAGCTATCAGTTGTGAGTTCTGAGCTGAAAGTGCTTTTGCAGTGCTTGAGCACACAGGCCCACCTGTGCCCGCAGACTCTCACTCAGCAGTCCCACTCTTCCCTCGTGAGCACCCCTGTTATCCATGGTCGTTGACAGCTAATCACTTTAGTGCTAAAGGCATGAGTTATGATGAATGTTTATTAAATGGTGAAAAAAAGCTGAATTTTGTGTGTGTGATATGTGTCTCTCAGAGTCTCCAAGATACTCAGAGTCTCAATTTTATGTAATTTTAGTTTTTTTCAAGTGAACTCCTTATTAAATGTGGATACTATGTATTTTCATTTATGTACATTCATATTTTAGGAAAAATATGCCTCATCAATCCCAGTGCCTTCATTTTTGGTTTGAAAAATATAGTTTTATATATAAATACATACACAAAGGTAGCTGCTGATCTGATAGGAAGGTATTCATTCATCACTGGGTTTTCCTTGTCCTAGATTCTGTGACTATCGTGGTGAACCAGACAGTCAAGACCCTATTTTCACACAAGTTGTGTTCTACTGGGGAGAGACAGACAAGTGAACAGTAATCAGATAAATCAACGTCAGATCGTGACAAATGAGATGGGGAAAATTACAGGACATGAGAGAAAGTGAGTGGGGGGTGCTACTTTAGTAGGTAGGAAAGGCCTCTCAGATCTTTGATCTGAGATCTAGATAGCCATGCAAAGATTTAGGAAATAGCAGTCAAGGCAGAGAAGCTGCAAGGACAAAGGTCTTGAGGTGGAAACAAGGTTGGGAGTCCCAGTAGTGTGGCTGGACTGTGGTGAGCTAGGAAAGAACAGGTGGGAGCACTGGTGGTGAGGATTAGATTTTATTCTCGGTGGAATGGAAAGCTGTTAGACTGTTCTCTGGGTTGTGTTTTAAGTACTGAGCGTGGATCTCTGCATGACTGCATTCACATTCTCTCTTCTGCCCACCTCCTTAGACTTGTGATCTTTGGACATACTTTAAAAATCGCTGACTCTGGGTAGGGGTGAAACTTGTGGTCACAGGACATCTTTCTTGGGCAACATTCCTGAACCGGCTGGATGCACCCACTGCAGTTGACCCACAGAGTCCACACTGGTTTTACCCATTCTGTTCCTTGTTTACCCTGGCTTTTTACTTGTTTTCTAAAGAATGCAGTAGACCTTTCCATTTGCCTTTGAGTGATCCAAACAAAGCCATCTAATCGTAATCAGGACTTTTAAACATATCTTCACTCAGATTTCTAAGTGGAATTGTTTCTTCAAGTGATATGAGCTTGGCTAATCTCTTTGTCCTGTAAATTGTTAAAGGAAAGAGGTGATGTTTGGATAGAATCTACCAAAATCTGCTTGAGGTTTGTCTTTTCTCAGCACTTGGGGTCAGCTTCTTTTGAAGCATAACCACACACTGATCTCTGGGTTGTTGCCAGGTTCCTTATTCTGTGTAGTGGTATCATCCTCACAGGTTACCTCTGAGTCAACTCTCTAACCAGATTCTCTTGCATATTAATTGAACCTGCTCTTTTACCCTGTTCTGATTTGAGGGTTTAATTGTCTTTTGGGTGCTCAGCTCTCATTCTTAGAAGCGATGGTTTCAGTCCCCTTCACTTCTTTAAAGCAGAACTTCCTATAGGCTTTTGGCTGTGAGGCATGCTCAGGCCTTTGGTAATGGGCCAGCAAGGAATGGATCCAGACAAAACAGTGAGACCCAACACTTTTTAAGCCTTGACATCTCCCTCCAGGGCTAGAGGCCAGGAGTTACCCTACTATGTCCAAGAAGGCAGATCATTAACCTAGAGATATAATGTAACTGGAAGGGCTACATGAGAGATATAATGTAGCTGGAAGAGCTACATGACTTTTTTTTGTAGTGGAAATTTTCAAGCACACAGAAAAGTAGATTGGCTAGTACAAGGGACTCCGATGTGTCTACAGCTTAGTTCCAACAACCATTAACTTCCTGCCTTTCTTGTTTCACCTGGCTCATTTCCCCATGCATGCACTCCACTCCTCTGCTGTTACTATCTGTGGATCTGTTCTGGGTTCCCTATATGGCAGCATCACCCCTTCTTCACCATTTACTTCTACAGTAGACATGCCCATCTTCCATTATAGCAGTAGAGTCTTTGGTGGGTGGGGGGGTATGAGGACTTGTTATTATATTAAAGGATTTGAATTACAAGCTGCAACTTGACTATCCAGCCTTCTGAAATTTTCAGCATCTGAAAGATGCCAGGCAGACTTATGATCAGAGCACTGGATTTCAGCTACTTCTTTCTTATTATTTCATTTTTTACTTTGGAGGTTTTGTTCCCTGATTACCTTGAGCAGAAGCTGTATAGACTGAAAAACAAGCTGCAATTTGGAGGTTTTGCAGTAGAGTTCTTTGCAGGCAACTAAAGAATTTGATAGTCATGGCTGTACAGCCATTATTCTAGCACGTGTGGGGAGACCATGTGAACTGGAAGGTGGTAAGACACAGGCCTTGGAGTTAGATGGAACTGGATTCAAATCTCGGCTCTAACAACCACCAACTGTGTGACACTGGTCAAGTTTCTTAGCCTTTCTGGATGTATCCTCTCATCTATAAAGTGGATAATAATGATTCCTACCTCACAGGAGTCCCTGGGAAGATGAACTAACCTGATGTATAGTAAGGACTTAGTGAGTGCCTGGAACGTAGTAGGTGGTCAGAGCTTAGAAGCTATTAATAATATCCATTCATTTCAGTTATTTTCCAGCCATCTGGTATTGACTTATTTGTTGTATTTATGGATCTCTTCCTCAAATCTATTTGGACCTATTACTCACATCTTTCCTCCAACATTACAAGCATTTTAAGAACAGTTCTGAAGGTGTGATGCAGCTTGCCAAATCCGGGGCAGCTGTGACCACCACAGGACGCCTGGGGAGCATTCATTGGTAAAGTTCCCTGGGCCCAGAAAACTTGCACTATTCTTAATAAATTAGGTGCTGGACTTAGAAAAAAAAGTCAACAGAGATTTCCTGGCCAAGTTTTCCTGCTTCTATATTTGGCTAAAGTCAGACAGGTTCAATCAACCAAGTGAGGTCTCTGAGCTCGGGCAGGACAAGCACAGCCATTTTTCTCTGTGTGTGTTGGCCGCAGCTAGATTCTGGAGCCAGACTGCTTGAGTTTGAAGCCTGGCTCTTCTCTTTCCTACCTGGGTCACCTTGGTCCATTGTGTCTCCACTCCTCTTTTGTAAAACACCCCCCTACATTAAAGGTTTATTGTGAAGAGTTAAAGGAATAGTTAATGTAAACATTTAGAACAGTACTTAGCATATGGTAAGCTCTCAGTGAATTTTTTTATTGATATCACAGAGGTGGTGGGGAAAATTCTGGGCTGTAGAATGTTTCCTAGGTTCAATCTTCAGTGGTTGAGCAGTTCTACTTCTTATATTCATCCTGTAAATATTTATTGATTTCCTACCATGCCACATACTGCTCTGAGCTCTGGACACAGGAATGGGCAAAACAGTCCAAAATCACTGCCCAGGGGATTAGCGTTGTAACCTTCTTTGAGTGATGGTGTCCAATCTGGTCCTTTGCTGTTTTAAATAAGTGCACTGTTTTAAATAAGTTCTTCTAAATAACCCTGCTTGATTCATATCATTTTATTCCCATATCATTATCCCCAAACAATAATCCTTTGTTTTGCACAACAGTTATTTGTTCTTAAGTACCCAATATGTGCTATGTACTCTTAAAGAGCAGCTGATAAAGAGCTGGTGCATGCCAAGTGTCTGTGGGATAATTCAGGCAGTAGATAGCTGATCACAACACAGTCAAGTTCATGTTCTGGTTGAAAAAGGCATAGAATGTTATGGGAGCACAGAGGAGGGGCATCAGTATAAAATGGTGGAGTCAGAGAAAGTTTCCTGAAGTAGATGAACTCTGAAGGGTGGTTTGGAGTTAGTTCCAGAGTAGTGTGGGTACGTGGGTAGGGGTGAGGAGGTATGGGGAGGGTTGATGAGGGAAGGATGGGGCTTTCTAGGCAGAAAGAGTACGTAGAGAAGGTATGGACGCTCAAAATCATCTGACTGTTGGGAGAACTGCAAAGGAGTCATTAGTCCAGTTACAGCAGAGGACAGGGTGACAAGTGAACAAGGAGGAGGCACGGGTGTGAACCGGGTAGTGAAAGACCTTCTGTGCATTCCTCAGGAGTTTGAACTTCCTCCTGAAGACGGTAGGGAGCCAGGAAAGGATCTGAGGCTCTGAAGTGATATAGACATGAATAGACATCATGAGAGAATCGCTGCTTCATCAGCAGTGTAGAGCATGACTTGAAGGAGAGTTTAAAGGAAATCAAGGAGACCAGCTATCCCAGTCAGAAAGCACCAAGGTCTGCACACACAGTGACAAGGAGGTGGTAGGGAAGGGCTCAGAGTTCTAAAGGTATTAAGAAGGAGGTGTGTTCTGTGGGACTTGGTGAATGATTGACTGGGTAGGAAGCAGGGGCTTTAAAATTGTTGAAATCCCTTTTCTCCACACCCTCTCCAGCATTTATTGCTTGTAGACTTTTGGATAGCAGCCATCCTGACCACTGTAAATTAATAGAGTGTCACATTGTCATCATCTGGGGTCATCATGATTCCTTGTGTTACTATGAAAAGCTAAACCAGGGCAAATGCAGCAGCTTGGATGCCCAACACGGTCGGTGAGGGTGTGAGTAGGCCTTCTGTCTTGAGGCCTTTGAGGATATGGCAGTCCTCTGTCTTGACTCAGGTCAGTGTCATTCACACAATTCCAGCCAAGCAGATCACTGCATCCCCTAGTTCATTGGTTCATTTGTTCTTTTATCTTATTGGCCAGATATTTATGGGATGCCTGCTAAGTGATCTCAGGAAGCTTATGTAATGGTGGGCATTGGTGGAAGAAGAAGGAATCATATATTAAAGTAAAGAAAGAAAATACTTTAAGATAGAGGTGAATGGTTTTAAAAAATGAAAACAGAGTGAGGGAGCGGGCCTGGGAGGTTGGCTAAGAGCTTTGACCTGGGAAGAACATCCCAGGGAAGGGTGCTGAGATAGCAGCTAGTTGGTTGCTCATCTGGATTACTGCAGTTGCACTGTAACTGGTCTCCTTGCTTTCCCTATTCTCTGCCATTTTTGACACCACAGCTGAAGCAATCCTTTAAAAAATATGAATAAGATCCTCTCCTCAAAACCCTCCAGTACACCCCATGTCATAATGAGTAAGAGATAAAGCACCCACAATGGCAGCAAGGCCCTCCCTGGTCAGACCCTCTTCTTTCCTCTCTAATCATCCTTTCCTCCCTGCTTTCTCTGCTGCAGCCCCAGTGGCTTCCTCCTGCTGCCTGAACATGTCAAACATGCTCCCATCTTTCTGCCAAGTGCTGCATGGTTGTCCCTCACTTTAGGTTTTGACTCTTGTGTCATGTTGGTGGCCTCTGCCTGGCATAAACCAGAATTCCAGACTCAGAAGAAAGCAGGTCTTCAACATAAAACATACTCTTTGCACAAACAGTTTAGGTATCATGAGTCATTCTTTTTAAAAAAAAAAATTTGGGGGGGGATGCTGTTCTGGGTCTTCATTGCAGTGCACAGGCTTCTCATTGAAGTGGCTTCTCTTATGGAGCACAGGCACTAGGCATGCAGGCTCAGTAGTTGCAGCTTGAGGGTTCTAGAGCACAGACTCAGTAGTTGTGTCACCTGGGCTTAGTTGCTCCACGGCATGTGGAATCTTCTCAGACCAGGGACTGAACCCATGCCTCCTGCACTGGCAGTCAGATTCTTATCCACTGTACCTCGAGTTGACTCAGGGAAGTCCCTTGAGTCATTCTAATTAAGGATGATAGGAACACTCCTGACTTTCCTAAGTGCTAGCCAAGGACCAGCCTTGCAAACAGACCTTTCTAAGGATGACAGTCTCAGGCTGCTGTGCTAACTTCTGCCTCAATAATATATGATGAATAAATTAAAAACAGGAAAACACGGCACATGTGGTTAGAACAAAACAAGCTGTGCAGAAAGAGGTAGGAGATGCGGTTGCTGAGCAGATGCATCGAGAGCAGACAGGGACCTTGTGGGCTGCAAGAAACAGCTTAGACAAACATATTTCTTAAGTCTCATGATCTCTCCATAGGATTGCCCAAACCAGATCTTTAACATTGTCTCAACTTCAATTCACTCTCCTCTCTTCTCGGGGCAACATGTCTATCCCTTTTCCTTTCCCATTCAGTTGACAGGATAATTCAGTCTCCAATTCTGTCCAGTGTAACACTTCATGCTCTTCTGCCCTGGAACTTATCACAGTTGTAGTAAGTTAATTATTTGTATAATTCATTTAGTATCTGAGTTCTCCACTGAACTAAAAAATCCTAGCTTGTTAATGCTATATCCTCAGTGCCTAACCCAGAACTCAACAAATATCTGAATGAATGACTTACTCTTCTTCAGAGTGCAGATGACCCTGGACTAGGCTAGACCTCCTGGGGACCTTGACCCACCCCAGTGCTTTCCCATGCTCTCAGCCTAAAACCTGATCACCATCTCCCTAGCCTCTACCCAGATTTGAAACACACAGTGCCAGGCAAATCCCAGCCTCACCATGACTCAGCTTCTGATGCTTGGCTGTGGATGTTCACTTTGCAGGAGTTCTTGGAAAAGGCCCAGCTGCTTGCAGTAATTGGGGACCAGCTTATCCAAAGCCACCATTATGCAGTGGACTCCATCAGACCCAGGTGTGCGGAGCTCAGGCACCTTTGTGATGACTTCATCAATGAAAACAAAAAGAAACATGACATATTAGAAAAGTCCTTGGAGTTGCATAGAAGGTTGGACAAGGTGAGCAAAACTAAGCCGTGACCATGATGTATGCAAAATGTCCTGTGAAGCAGTCTTAATCATATTTGCCCTCCCTACCCCTCATTATTGTTCAGAAGATAAAGTGTTTCATGTGGAACAGCACTCAAGAGACATTAAAAACTGTACCAATCTGAAGTTATAGAAGTATTGAAGGTGAAAAATGCCCTAGCCATCCACCACATCCCATTTGAATGAAAAAAAAAATCCATGTCTTCTGTGTGGACTCAGACTTAAAGTGTGTTTTGACCTGGCCTGGCCCTTCTTGATGCCCCATCAAGTGTACAGAGAACCAAGCATTATACTTGCAAAGTGCTTCTCCTCATTAAAGGCATCAGATTGTGAATCCTTTTAAAGAAACCTAAGTAATAATGACCATTATACACTCCAACCATATATTGAGCACCTACTATGTTCCTACCAGGGGCATAATTGCATCATCTATCTAATCCTTAATATAATCTGTGAGGAAGATAATAATGGCCTCATTTAAGAGATAGAAACTGATATTCAACATAGTTGAATGGGTCAATGAGTCACAGCATTTAGTACATAAGGTGAGTATGCTATAATTGCAGATTTCCTTATGGACCACCCTGGAGACTCTGGTTCAGTAAGTCTGGGATGGTGCCCAGAAATCAGTATTTTCATCAAGTGTCCAGGTGATTTGATGCAGGTGGTACCTAGACAACACTGAGGAATCCTGGAATAAAAGGTTGCCCCAAACCACACACGGGGTAATTAGGGGATTGCAGATTTGAGGTCAGGATGGCCAAATTCCAAGACTGCAACTCTGTATGCAGAGTACTCATGGGCAGGGGGTGCCTCCCCCGACACCCCGCTACCCTTCAGCGGTGATCTCTGAGGCAGGTGGCCAGTCAGCAGGGGCCGTGACTTCTGGAGCCTTCCCTGTCAGCTGTTCCAGCCAACACAGGGCTCATACCATGAGTCAGCATGCTCCATTCCCACATTTGTTTCTCTCTGATAGCTGGGAGCACCCGCCCAGGCTGTTTACATCATCCCATTGCCAAAGGGATTTTAGTGTCAAGGAAATACAGCTGCTCCAGAAGCAAGTGGCTCAGAAGGGCCTGGAGTACAGCCTGCACTGTGTGCTGTGCTCTCAGCAAGGTTAGCGAGCTGCTGTTTCCCTCACTCCATTTCTGCTCCAGACGTAATAGCCTAATGCTATCTGTCGAGGGTGTGTGTGTGTGTGTGTGTGTGTGTGTGTGTGTGTCTGTGAGAACAAGTAGCTGCTGTGACTCTGCAGAAGACCCCATCCTAGTGTTTTCTGCAGATATAGGCATGATTTTAAAGAGAAAGTTTTTACAGTATGTATAAAGCATAATTTCATATTATTTTGAAAGTCCAAAAATATCAGGAGGAGGAAAACAGTTATTCATGGACACTACTTACATTCCACTCCCCTCCTTATCCCCACACAGTGGGAATCATTCATTTTAATATATCTTTACATGATTTCTTTGTTATTCTAAAAGTAGTACACATTCAGTGTAGGTAATTTAGGGGAAAAGTCAAGACAGACTTATGTTGCCTATACACACTTAGAGATAACTACTTTGGAGCTCCCTTTGGATCTTTTTTTCTCTGTACAGTTATTTTACACAGCCCTTTAGGAAACACAGTAAATGGTAATGCAGATGTACTTGCAAGGGCAGCTTCTTTTCATATAAATATTCAGACAGCACAAGGGCCCCTGTCTTTCTGTTTAAGTTTTTTAAAAACTGAATTGTTAGAATTCTTTACCTATGTGATTTCATCCCAACATTCTGGAAAGTTTAAGTACTGCTGTTCTGAGTCAAGAGTTTTGCATCCTTAGATTCTTCCCTTGGAAAGACAAATAGAAACGTGGACAGAGGAAAATGTTATTCTTGTTAAAAGAGATATTCCCTCTGTCCGGAGGGAATGGAGGGCCCAGGTCTGAAGCCTCATTTTTCACTCTGTGTTCTTGTAACCAATTAAGATGCAACAAAAGTGGCCTAGAGGTTAGACCCAAAAAGCCATTGGTTGTATTTTTCTATGGTTAGACCAAACATAGAAATAACTCAACTCTCTCCTCTTAGAGATGTGGCTATTACTGTCAGTGGATAAGAATGTTTGTGATTTTTTTTGATTAAGTGGCTTTCCTGAAAAGTGTGTAGATATAAAATTGATTTGGGCTTGTCCACCTCATGGTTATATTTACAGTGGCTGGACCTCTAAACTTGATACAGGATGACATGGTATCCCATGACAATTGCCTATTGTCTCAGAATCCTTGTGGACCCCATATGAGCTTAGACCTCCTGAGGATAGTGGTGGCTGAGCTGTGGGCAGGCTAACTGCACAGAGCACTGTGTTTCTTTCCAAAAGGTCAGCCAGTGGTGTGAAGCAGGAATCTACCTCTTGGCTTCCCAAGCTGTAGACAAGTGCCAGTCCCGAGAGGGCGTTGACATTGCTTTGAATGACATTGAGACATTCCTGGGCACAGCGAAGGAGTACCAGTTGCCCAGTTCCAAGGACTTTTACAACCAGTATGAGCTGATGCTCACTCTTGATATAAAGGTAATTTTTCTGAGTTATTTGATCCATGGTTGGGAAAGGGGTGTGGGGGGACATTGCATGTTGCCTAAGAAAATTTATGTTGGATGTACTGAGCAGATCAACCAGTTTTTGAGCTCTCAGGTGGCCTTAGACTCCTGGTCTGTGCTTCCTGGAAAACTGACCCTTCATGGCTTGATTCAAATAACTTTCAGTCATTCATTTCTCTGCAAATACTTATGAGCATCTCTGACACATCATGCTCTGTGCTGAAGGCTGAGGACACAATTATGAGCAGAAATAGATGTGGTTCCATCCTTCAATGAACTTACAGTTTATGTACGGGAGAGGCTGACATGAATAAATATCAAATACAAAACACAAAAATGTATTGCAAACTAATATAAGTGCTTTGGAGGATGTATTCAGGGTTCTACTGGGTATGTAACAGAGAAACTTGACCTGGACTGAGGGTCAGGAAAGTTCCATGGGAAGATTCACTTGAGCCAAGGCCCAGAAAATGAACAGAGAAGATGGGAGAGGCTTTCCAGATTGAAGGATCAGCATGTGCAAGGTTTCAGGGCTAAAGGGAGCCTGACACAAGTTCAGAACCCCAAATTCAGAACAGCTGGAGTACAGAACACAAAGAGTGTTTGGGGTGAGATTAGAGAGGGGTAGATGAGGTGGGGCTTTGTGGGGCATATGGAGGAGTTTGGTCTTTATTCTGAGAACCACTCAAGGATTTAAGTAGGGGAATAACTGGATCAGATTTGCATCTCGAGAGGAGCACTTGTGAAGCCAACAGAATTATAGATAGTACACTTTCCTTTTAGAGCCATATCACCTTGTATGTACTTCTGCTGAAGGGGCTTTTTTTAACCTCTTTTGAGTCATGGACATTTTTGAGAATCTGATACATATATTTTTAGGGTTCTGTACTCTCAGAATGATTGAATGGAACTTGATGTAGGTACTGTTTACAAAGATATGGGCAGAATTTAGGAAACCCAACACGGATGGTGAAGCACTCTGGACTAGCGAGAAGCAGGGAACAGTTACCATCACTAAGCCTGAAAGACAAAGGCGAACTCAAGAAGCACTATAGGTGTGACTGTAAGAGAGATAGCCAGTAAGAGCTGTGGCATTGGGCAGAGGAATGCTGCCACTGGTGGGGAAATCTATAGCCCTACTTTTCTCTCCCTCTCAGATTTCCTAGTGGTACATCTCACTGGCCAAATCCAACTAAAAGCCCATGGGCCGCTAGTGAGCCCATCTGATGGAGACAGTAGAGGTCAGCTTCCTGGGACACAGAGCGTTATAGAGAAGATGTAATGGGGGAGCAAACAAGGAATGCCCAGTATGTATAACTTTTATGATTAATTTTAAGGGAACACCTTGAAGGATATCCATGGATCCAGGCTAAGATCCTTTGCTCCAAAATGATACATAGCAAACTGCATTCTAGTTATTTATTTTTAATGTCTGTGTTGTTTATTATACTGGTAGCTGCAGTGAGGCAAGAGCCTCATCCACCTCTGTATTCCTGTGCCTAGCCTGTGCCTAGTATCTTACAGTCCACGTTTGTGGAACAAATGGGCAGGCAGGTGGCAGAGTGGACCAGGTACAGTGAGAGCAGCTGGGTGTGGGGCTGTGCCTCAGTGATAGTCTTTCTTTGACTCCTCCTGGTGGGTTTTGGTGTTAAGATGTGATCTTGAAGTGGTGTTGGGTGTAGTTAGGCTGGTCCCCTTTTCCTAACACAGGGACCCTTCTACTTCCCTGCAGAGAGGACAAAGAGAAGGTGCATCTAGTGTCTGTGCTATATTATAGACTCAGGATTTGGTAGCCTCAGATCGTATTCCCAAAGCAAAACAGTCTCATTTAGCTCCACATCCATTAGCTGCACAAACAAGTTTATCAGGTCAACCAGGCAGACTTGTGGCCACAGTTGCCATTTTGGCCAACACTGGCAAGCTTTATAACCACATCTCCAACCAGAAAATGAATAAAGCTTAATAAGCCACTTCTGGGAAATAGGCAGAAACATGGAGGAAGGAGGGAGGAGACCGGAAGAGAAATTTATTTTAAAAACCCAGAATGGATGCTCCAAGTCCCCCAAACCCATCTTTTTCTTCTTTTGGTTTGGAGTAAAATTCTAGATGTTAATGTTCAGATATCCTATTCTGTCAGAGAGTTTTATCCACTGAGGAGTAATGACTTGGTTGTCAAAATGGGTATTCTATAGACATAGAAATGATCCTCATTATATGCATACACACACATTGATTTAGATACATGTATCTCCTTAGGTGGACAGTTGGTTCCAGGCATCGAAACAAGACCCCACCCACCTCTGAGTGGGTGAGCACACTCACCTCTGAGATCTTAGTTTCTCATACCATTCTCCAGTAAAAGAGAACTGGGCTTCTTGGAGAAATGGCCATACCTAGGACTGGGAAAGGAAATATACAAAATGATCCTAGAGAGGGATATCAAGATGGCAGAGTAGGGGGATACAAAGTTCACCTCTCCCAAAAAACACATCAAGATTACATCTACACGTGGAACAATTCTCACTGAAAACAAATGAGACTGGCAGAAAGACACTTATACAACCAAAGCTGTAAGAAAGATCCACATGGAATTAGGTCAGGACCATACCCCTGGGAGGGGACACAAAAAAGGACGGGGATTACATAGGCCTTTTAGGGAGTGAGCAGTTTGAACCACATATGGGCACCCCAGCCCTGGGGTCTGACACAGGGAAGAAGTGTTCCCTTAGTTGGTTTGAAAACTCCTGGGAACAAGGTGGATGAAGCACATTGAAATTTCCCAGGATTCTAGCTAGTTTCCTGTGACTGCACCAATGACTGATTCAGCCCAAGCTAAGTGCTCACTTGGCTGCTCTCGCTCTCTGTGGTGCAGCTTGACACTAGGGCAAGAGCTGCCACAGCTTTTGGAAGAGTACTGTTTTGGGGGTTTGGGGAGCTGGCTCAGACCTGCACAGCACCCAAACTGGGGTGAGGGCAGCCATTACTGGTGCTCATGGAGCAGGCAGATCCAGAGTGGTCTGAATTCTGACTTATGTGCTGGGACCACTCCAGCACACACCCCAGTCCACCCCAGGTACCCACTCTGACCCCTCTTGTTCCAGCACTGCTTCCCTCTGGGGCAAAGTTACCAATTCTGGGGAAAGGAGGAGAGCACACAGAATAGAACCACCTCAGACCCAACTCTCAGGGCCTCTGTTCTAGCAATCTGAGACCAGACCCCTCACCCAACAGGGCAGTAATGGCCACTGAGCTGAGGGGAAATCTGAGTCACACCTGGCTCTGGCTTCAATCCCTCCATCTCCAGTCCATAACCTACCAAGGTGCTAGCTGCCAGCGTACCCTGAGGAAAGATATGACTTGTGCTTATGTCAGATCCAGCTCTCCCACCAAAGCCACTGGGCACATGCAGACTATTTAGGGATGCTCCCATACAAGGACCCCCCTTCAAGACCAGGATAGAGAACTGTTTCACCTAATTTCATAAAGACAGAAAAAGTTAAGCAGAATAAAAAGAAAGTAAAAGTTGTTTCAAATGAAAGAACAAGGAAAAAAAAAACCTGAAAAAAACAACTAATGAAACAGAGATAAACAGAGATAAATAATTTACCAGATGAATAGTTCAGAGCATTAGTAATAAGAATGCTAACTGAACTAGGGAAAAGAATAGGTGAACACAGTGGAAATATTAACAAGGAACTAAAAAGCATAAAAAAAGAACCAGTCAGAACTTAAGAATACAATAACTGAAATGAAAAACACACTAGAAGGGATTAACAGCAGACCAGGTGAAAAAGAAGAATACACAAGTGGTCTGGAAGACAGAATAATGGAAACCACCCAATCAGAATAGCAGAAAGAAAACAAATTTTAAAAATGAGAATAGATTAAGGGACCCGTGGAACAACATTAAACATACCAGCATTTGCATTATAGAGGCCCCAGAAGGAAAAGAGAGAGAGAGAGAGACAGAGGAGTCAAAAATGTATTTGATGAAATTATAGCTGAAAACTTCCCAAACCTGAGGAAGGAAACAGATAACCAGGTACAAGAAGCACAGAGCAGCCCACACCAGATGAACCCAAAGAGACCCACATTAAGGTATAATTAAAGTGACAAAAGTTGAAGATAAAGAAAATCCTAAAGGCAACAAGAGGGGGGAAAAACCGTTATATACAAGGGAACCCCCATAAGGCTATCAGCTGATTTTTCTGCAGAAACTTTGCAGTCCAGATTGAGTGGCCATGATATATTTAAAATGCTGAAAGAAAAAAACCTACAGTGTATGTTACTCTACACAGTAAGATTATCTTTTAGAATTGAATGAGAAATAACTTATTAGATGAGTAAAAACTAAAAGAGTTCATCAATACTAAATAAATGTTAAAAGAGATGATCCAAAGTGGAAAGAAAAGGCTATAGGAAGTAAGAATCTATATGAAAGGAAAAATTCCAATAGTAAAAGCAAATATGTAGTGAAGGCTGTGGATGAACCACTTAACTAAGCTGGTAGGAAGATTGAAAGATAAAAAGTCATAAAACTAAACATAACTACAGTGAACAGTGAAGGGATACACATGAAGATGTAAAATACACATCAAAAACATAAAACACGAGGAAGGGGCAGTAAAAAAGTGTAGCTCTTTTAGAATGTGTTTTAATTTAAATGAGTACCAGTTTGAAACAAATAAATATAGTTATAAATCAACATATATGAACCCCATAGTAACCACAAATCAAAAGCTACAACAGACATACAAAAATCAGAGAGAAAGGAACACAAGCATTCCACTAAACAAAATTATGAAACCACAAGTTAAGAAACTAAAAGAGGGAAAGGACAGAGAACAACTACAAAAACCAGAAAACAAGTAACAAAATGGCAGTAAACACAAAACTATCAATAATTACTTTATATATAGGGGACTAAATTCTCCAGTCATAAGACATAGAATGGCTGATTCAATTAAAAAAGAGTACCTCTCTATATGTGACTTACAAGAGACTCACTTCAGAGCTAAAGATACACAGACTGAAAGTGAGAGGATGGAAAAAGATATTTTGTACAAGTGGAAACAGCAAAAAAGAGAAGGTAGTAATATCAGACAAAATGGACTTTAAAACAAAGTCTATAACAAAGGACAAAGAAGGGTATTATTTAATGATAAAGGGATCAATACAAGAATATATAAGGTGTATAACTCTTATTAACATATATGCACCTAGTATAGGAAAACCTAAATCTATAAAGCAAATATTAACAGATTTAATGGGAAGCTTCCCAGTGGCTCAGTGGTAAATAATTTGCCTGCAATGCAGGAGATGCAGGAGATGTGGATTTAATCCCTGGGTCAGAAAGATCCTCTGGAGGAGGAAATGACAATCTTTCCCAGCATCAGGGTCTTTTCAAATGAGTCAGTTCTTCACATCAGGTGGCCAAAGTACTTGAGTTTCAGTTTCAGCATCAGTCCTTCCAATGGAATATTCAGGGTTGATTTCCTTTAGGATTGACTGGTTTGATCTCCTTGCTGTCCAAGGGACTCTCAAAAGTCTTCTCCAACACCACAATTTGAAAGCATTAATTCTCTGGCACTCAGCCTTCATTATGGTCCAACTCTCATGACTACTAGAAAAACCATAGCTTTAACTATATACAACATAAGAGAAGATTCTACACATGGACATCAACAGATGGTCATTCCCAAAATTATATAGATTATATTCTTTGCAGCCAAAGATGGAGAAGCTCTACACAGTCAGCAAAAACAAGACCGGAAGCTGACTGTGACTCAGATCATGAAATCGTTATTGCCAAATTCAGACCTAAATTGAAAAAAGTAGGGAAAACCACCAGACCATTCAGGTATGACATGAATCAAATCCCTTACGATTATACAGTGGAAGTGAGATATAGATTCAAGGGATTATATCTGATACACACAGTGCTTGAAGAACTATGGACAGTTTGTGACATTGTACAGGAGGCAGGGATCAAGACCATCCCCAAGAAAAAGAAATGCAAAAAGGCCAAATGGCATCTGAGGAGGCCTTACAAATAGCTGTGAAAAGAAGAGAAGCGAAAGGCAAAGGAGAAAAGGAAAGATACACCCATCTGAATGCAGAGTTCCAAAGAATAGCAAGGAGAAATAAGAAAGCCTTCCTCAGTGATCAGTGCAAAGAAATAGAGGGAAACAACAGAATGGGAAAGACTAGAGATCTCTTCAAGAAAATTAGAGATATCAAGGGAATGTTCCATGTAAAGATGGGCACAATAAAGGACAGAAATGATATGGACCTAACAGAAGCAGCAGATATTAAGAAGATGTGGCAAGAATACACAGAAAATCTATACAAAAAAGATTTTCATGACCCAGATAATCACGGTGGTGTGATCACTCACCTAGAGTCAGACATCCTGGAATGCGAAGTCAAGTGGGCCTTAGGAAGCATCACTATGAACAAAGCTAGTGGAGGTGATGGAATTCCAGTTGAGCTATTTCAAATCCTAAAAGATGATGCTGTGAAAGTGCTGCACTCAATATGCCAGCAAATTTGGAAAACTCAGCAGTGGCCACAGGACTGGAAAAGGTC